CTTTGATCATTCTAATCAAAGTGGATCTAGCTTTGTAGACATCTCATATCAATACTTCAAAATAAACCGTAAAATTCAGCACACAAGAAGGCTTTCGGTAGAGGAGGGAGGAGAGGAGGGAGGAGCGGAGGGAGGAGATGAGAGAATGCCTTACCTGCGGAATAGTTGTAGCGACGGAGGCAGGATCAACGCGACAGTGGAAAGGCAGGGCAAAGGTTTTAGGCTTTTCGAGAGGGCAGTGGAGTAAACATTGCCAGGCCAAACACGGATCGGCGGGTATAGCGGTTCACGTGTAGTACAAATTATAAAATGTAGTTTGACAAAATGCCCATAAAACGTGCGAAACAAACATTAATGCGGCGTTTCCAAAACGTCACCACACTTATAAGCTGCCCCAAACAGGCCCTTAAAATTGTTTAGTTAAACACATAGCAATTAATTAATTAAATTAAATTAAAATTTATAGGAATAAATAAATTATTTATCCTTGCATATTTCATTCTTGCTTTCATATTGGAACTTCTCCCATTCATATAAATGAGAATCTAACAAGTGAGAATAGCCACATTTCTTGTGAAAGTCTGCCTAAATTTTGATTGGATTTTGACTTTAAAATTAATTCATACATTCATGCATTGTTCCATACCTATTGGCTTTCAAAAATGAATGGAGTCAAATAAAAATTAATAGATTATAAAAAACATCATTAGCTATCAATATTACACTTCATACACATGTAGCCAACTAGATTATAGTAATTGCTCTATCTTAACAATCAACAACCTATCCCATCTTGCATTGTATAAGATTGGATCATATCTTTTTGAGATGCTTAACTAGGTTACCTTATAGTCTTTTCTAAGCATGATTGTAAGTCTATTCATATTGGACTTATTTAAATATTCTATATGATTGAATTATAGTCTTTTTGCATTTATTTAAACGAGGTTCAAAATTTTACTTTATTAGTATATATATCATCTTAATTTTAAGAACTAAAAGTGATCATTTTGCTACATCACAAGTCCTCATCTCCAAAATGCATTCATGATCTTATGCCATTGAAATATATATATGTCCTAACATACTAATAACTTGATAAATTCAAAATAAAAATAATCTAAATTTTAAAATTAGAAAGTCCAACCTTAGGATAGTTGAAATTGCTTGAATTGTTTGATAAACATAATCAAATTCTTTAATGTAAGAAGATTAATAAAACAAATAATAAATTTTAATTGATGTGAGTGTAAATATTTAACAAATAATTTGTTAACACAATATAAAATTTACCATTATTAGTTTTTTTAATAAAATAATTCTATTATAAATATTATACACTAAAGTGCAGGGGGCAACCCTATTAACCATAAATCATATATATTGAATAAAAAAATAAACTAAAAGGTATTTTCAAGAATTACTGGATTAATGTTTGGGACTGCACATGATTGAAGAATAATAAATAAACATATATAATATGGGAGAATATCATGTTCGGTAAATCAGACCTGAGCGCATGGCGTCATGCAATCCATGCGTTCGTTCTACTGGATTAATGTTTGGGACTGCACATGGTTGAAGAATAATAAATAAACATATACAATATGGGAGAATATCATGTTCGGTAAATCAGACGTGAGCGCATGGCGTCATGCAATCCATGCGTTCGTTCACATGTCTAGATGATAGACATAATAATTTCTCCTATAACACAAATAAATATATGTTGCATTCTCAAATCAGTTGGTTAGACATCTAGTTGTCAGTTGTAAGTCCCCTCTGATCTGGAGTTTGAATCCCTCCGAGTGCAGGATGTGATACTCAAATTATTAGGCGCTTTCGGAATGATCGAAACTCATATCATAACCTCAGGCTATTCAGCTATTCTTGTGTGTGTCTCTCTCTCTCTCTATCTCTCTCTCTCTCTCTCTTGGCTATTCTTGTGTGTCTCTCTCTCTCTCTCTCTCTCTCTCTCTCTCTCTCTCTCTATATATATATATATATATATATATGCAGATATGTTTTGAGGCAATAAACATATGGCTGGAAACAGCTGAAAGCATGGATCTGGGAGATGTTGATAGGGAAGTGTGGATTCTAAGAGATAAAGGAGATTAAACAATGTAGGTTGTGTTTTTCATGAGTACGGTCCTTATAGGTCTCAGTCCTTGATGAGCTGGAATCCGTTGGAGACTGTAGAATACAAGCATGTCCAGTTCTGTCTTATCTTCTTTTCTCAGGGAAGGAGAGAGAGAGAGAGCAGGGATATGCCATTTATAAAAATAAACAGCTGTGCTTCCTTTGGTCGGATGGCTGTCTCATGCTCAACGACCAACTGGATGCATTTGTTGGGTGTATTTACCCCAGCTTCTTTCTTTGATATTTTTCTTATGGATTTCTACTATGTAAAGGTTAATCTTAGAAGAAAATATTATGTCTGATTAATTGAAAGTGTGGATGACAGTGCGAGTCACATCATTTTGTATGCTCAACAGTATGGTGTGATTCACACTCTCATCCTCTTGTCCATCGTCCGAACAAGAGGATGAGTTATACCACGTTATGAATTCAACAGTATAGTGTGATTCACGCCTTCATCCGCACATCCATGTCTGAACATAATATATAGTTTCTCCAACATAAGAGAAGAGAGTGGAGAAATGTTACGATAGGTGCACCACCTCTTCTGAATGTATGTGAAGAAAGAGAGATCATTAAGTGAGGTTAAAAATGTATAGATGATCAATAGTTATTACACTTTAACTTGGAACACATTTGCAGCGTGATTTATTTATTTTAAGCAGAATTATATATTATTGATGATTGCGAATATGACAAAATTTAGTACAACAAGGCTGAGCATGAGCTTATAAATTAATGGAGAAAAGAAGGATTATATTTCCAAAAAAACTAATAAACATAACACAATAAGACTTTTATATGAGATCATGATTAGCGCCATCTACCCTGCAACTCAATGCTGACTCAACAATATCGTGGACTGAGACCCTAATGGTGGTAGAGCTTTCTGAAGCTAATCAACTCCTCCATGGTTGCCCTAATAGTGTCTAATTTAAGATCAAAAGAGAAGAAGAGGAGCTCAGTTGCATTTGATGATCAAAAGTTTTTACCAGCACTGAGGCTTAAGAAAGATGTGAAAAATCTATTATCCATACACTATAGGAAACTAGCAAATTTGCATTGGCCAAATCAGACGCTAATCAAACGTAAATCCGACGATATTTGAGGATTATCATCGGAATTATGTATGATTTACGTCCGACATTTTTTTAGGGTAATTTGGGGGTTAGTAATGTTGATTCTGTCAACGTTGCGTCAAATGTCTCGACGCAAAATAATTACCATTGCATTTTACATCGTTCTAGCGTCAGACTTCAGGTGAGTTAAATTTTGCATAATACCGTTGAATTGCTGTTGATTTTTCGGCCGGTAATATCGATGAGGTATGCGTCGGATTTTTGGACGCAAAACGGATGCAAAACTCAGATATAGAAAAAAAATTCAAAATATCAATTACATTTCCACAACATGCACGCAACATTTAATCCATATCACAGCAATATTATATATCAGCCATATCACAGATCAAAGCTTTTAAAAGTATCAATACTGAAAAAGGCGATATTGCCACAAAACTAAATTATAAGAAGTTTACATCCACAGCTTCAACATAAGTCTAAACATTTCACAGAGTTTTATTTACAATGCAATAGATAATGCTAAGGAATTAATAACACATAACCTAGGAGGAGAAGAAGTCACTTATAAAGAGATTTGTGATATGCAGCTGGATGTTCTCTCTAATCTTAATTTCAACATGCTGCGAACAAATCCACAAGTCCTATGATCATTATACAAATAGATGAATTGTTGGCCCAAATGAAAAAACAACTGCTTAATGAGTATTTAATTATTATTTTTTTAATTTCTAATTATGTAATTTTCCTTCAAATATAGTTGAATGGTAGATCCAATTTAATGATAGTACCCTAAAGCAATAACGTTTTGCTATTAAAGTAATAGGACTTACATGCTCATCATTTAGATAAGAGTGTAATCGGAGCACATAAAATCAAGTTCATACAAAAATAAGAAACTTTCTAACTACTTTAAAGATGAATTCTTTGATTTATGTTTAAGAAAGTGAAAAATAGAAATAAATAAGCGGTTTGAAGGATAATGAGAACCCTCTTTTATGTAATGACATGCCATCAAGTGATGAATGATTTGTAAATAAGGATAATGGGATCACACCCATTTAGTTACACTAAGAATATATGAATGTTGATTTCCTTGATGTTAATGGGAACAAACATAGCACACCCAGCACTAAACAACAAGAGATAAAAAAAGAAATAGCATTTTTAAAAATTTAAGTATTAGACTTTTGTTAATTTTCGACCTTTTAATTAATCTTTTACAACAAAATGGGGGAAAAGAAAGATGACTAAAATTGAAGAAAAAGCAGAATGGGAACACTTAGACTCAACTAACAAAGTAAGGTAGAAAGATAGATGTTATGATGATGATTCCAACAAAGACCCCCTCAGGTGATTAGTGCTTAGAACTTCTAATTATTTTTTTAGTTTATTTGCAACTATGGTTGATACTATGTTATTCAATGGGAGTGAAAAATCTTTCATGTTAAACTTATCTTTACTTATATATATTGTGCAAATTATCATTTTTATCATGTTATGATGTTAAATATGTTTTCTTGTCATATATTTATAAATTATGGTATTAAATATTTTTTTCACTTATTTATTTTGACCATGCAATTTGAGGCATACGCCTCAGACCGCCTCGAGTTTTACATCTTGTTTCATGAATAGAAAGCATCTCAATGCCTAAGTGCGTAAATTTAAACATTGGTGGAATGTATATAAATCTCCTATAATATTTGAATCAATGTCAAGAACATCAAAGAAAACATATAACAATGAAATTGCAGCAACTTTCATTATCACCAAATGTAAAGCATAAATGAGGTAATCTTATCATTGCATTTTAATATAGTGCCAGATTATGGGCATTTACAATCAAATTAAATAAGAAAATAAATTTCTGCTGAATTTACAGAACAGCTATTTGAATAGCGCTTTGATCAATCAGAATATACTATATTTATTTTACAGTAATCAAAAGACAGATTCCTCAAATGAGCTGCATCTCAAGGTTTATCTCAGCCAATTATCATTTATCATAATAGATAAAATAGGATGTTAATTGATTACTCTATATCCAAAGATATATGGCAAATTATTTAGTGATTTACTCAGAACTTGTAGACCATTTCTTCTGTGTAACCCAGATCCTTCAGTAACCCAGAAAGCTGCAAAAATAAATAAATAAAAAAACATAAAGTGGTTAAAAACCATAATAAAAAGAGCGAGCATTTACGTACATTCCACACAATTTTTATGTATTTACACATCTAACACCTAAACATTTGTGTTTATATGCATACCAGTGAAATCTTTAACATCATATCAAAAACACTACCAACAGTCTTTTTAAAAGTAAAATATACAAGAGAATTGTGTGGTATGTACATAAATTTTCCAAAAGAAAATTTGAATTCTATGAACATACTAAGATAGCAGTTTGATGAGATTATAGCTCATTGTTGACAAATCTTCTCTACTAGCTACATGATGGGCTTATGTTTTGGTTCTTATGAACTTGAATGGATCAAGTAAGAAAAATAAAGATAAAAATACCTCACTTTGAACTATAGCTCATTAAATAATTTTGCCATTGAAAAAAAAAATAAGGGATATTTATAAATATAACACACAATTCTTATGCGCCGATATATATAACACCTAAACTTTCATCTTAACATTTATAATGCTACGGTGTCATAAAACTATACGTTCAAATGTGTATTCTACTTTTAAAAAGTCGGTAATTGTTACATTTTATGTGGTATATATGTTAAAAATATAAATACTGTTATATGCAAGTAAATGTCCCCAAAAATAAATCTTGATAGCACATGTTGCAATATAAAAGTTATTTTTTAAAGTTATGGTTACCCTTAGTGCTTCTTTTACAACAAAAAATACAGGGTAAAAAAACTCTGATATTAAAGTTTGAGCTCTTAGATGTCAAATGCTTCAAATGCTTATGAAGGGAAAGGCAGACAAAAACAAGAAAGAACATTGTGCACAAAAATCTGTGTAAAATAGACTTAGCGTCTCATGCAGAACTCAGAGATTATAAGACAAAAAGGCTTACTTCGCCTTGTGTTCTATCTTTTGCCTTGTCGCCTGATATGTGGTTCATCAAGCCAGGTGGTCCACAGACCTGATTAAATATAGAACAAAGCACTAATTAATATTAAAAAGCAACATGATAAGTAAAGAATTTATCATACTACCAGCATGCCTCAGTAAGACAGTGATAGCTCAGTTCTATCCAAAAAGAAGGGGAAAATATTTGAGGCCTCAAGAAAAATTCAGCACAACAAACATAGAAATCAAAGTTTTACAAGCTCTTTCCACAGTACTGTTAAATAGAGAAAGCATGATTTGGGAGCAGCTTGAAATGTAGTATTGATCAAGAAAAAACATGATTTTTTAACTTCTTTATGTAATCTTAAACATGGATAGTTCATTTATAAACAATAAGTGAAACCCACCAATATGAGTGTATCCTCAGAAGGACCTGGCAATCCCTTCAGAATCATATCATTTGATATAAAGCCCGCACCACCTCTCCATGACTTGGTTGGCTTATCAACAGTGTAGAAAACCTGAAGTTCCGACCGAATAAAAGTAAAAAAGATACATTAGCCGGATCAGCTAATTATTCACAAAACATTTAAAATGAAACTGGTAGTAACATAATAAAAATAAACCACCTTGAAATTTGGATAACTAGCTGCCAACCTATCAAGCTCTGCCTTCAGCAAAACATCATCTGGTGACACATTTGCATAAAGCAACGATACCTAAACAATGAATTTAGAAAAATCATTAGAACATGATCTAACGCTAGATATACCACTAAAATCCTGCAAATAGAAGGGATGGAACAGATATAATCTGGCTACAAATTAAAGAATATATTTTGCATAAACTTAGGTCAACATCAACTGAAAAAATTATGAATGGAAAGGGTTTCATAAAGCTAACTCAATCGTTGGAATATGTCGATGATGATTAATATTTATAAGAAATCAATTTCACATTAGATTTAAGAGTTTCTATCATGTATCTACACAGTAGTTGCTGAAAGAAGTAAAATATGGGCTCGAAAAATTTATGTCCAGCTCTTTCTAGAGAGTTTGCGAGTCCGGATCAAATTTTTATAAAGGAAACCTATATTTTAGATAAGATATCATCAAGAGATTTTGCCCTTAATTTATAAGGAGTTTATGAACTGATTCCAGGTTTCTCGCAAACAGAAGGCCCAATGATAAATTACCCCTCCTAATGACAAGACAAAACATTTGATCAAAGCTAACCGTTTGACACAAAGTAATTAGCTTATAATAGCAATAGTTTTTATTTTAAATTGAGAAAATTCACCACCTAACGACCTTTAGCTTGAAGCTAATAGCAAGGGAATGATACAAGCCCATAAAAGATCTCATAGTTCTATCTTCCAAGATCATGAATCCTAATCTACTGAGTCAAAGTTGTTAAACGACCCAACTAGAACGAAAAATTAATGTAAACAGCTATGGGTTGCATTATTTAAAGACACCTTGTAGACTTGACATAGATATTTGTCTAGGAAAAAAAAAGCCAAGTTGATCTTAGCTAACATAGTTTTCTGACCATTAGAGAACTTATGAGCTCTACCGTGACTGTTATTCAAATCTATCATTTCACAACAGGCCACCAATTAGAAAGCACTTCCTTACTGAAGAGAGATCCTTGAAAGTGATCATACAAATACACTAATATAATATGAGCTCTTTATGAGTTTATGTTAAGCTTAAATTTATCACCTTCGATAAACTAATGCAAAAGAAAGATGGATTATTGATCTAAGTTTAGGAGTACAAATTTTACTTGACTATTAAATTTTATAATATTCTCAATACATTTTTATTTTCAAATAAATTTTGGTCTATAGTGATTTGCATGAGACTTGGGGAAAAATTTTGAAAATAAAGTCCCTTCAGGTTGAGGTTAGCTTTCAACATGAGTATCCTTAGGATATTCAATTGAGTTTAATTGCTTTAAACTTTATAAAGTAACAAGTAGGGACTGATGCTAAAAATTATATTTTAATGATTTTTATAATAGATTAAATATTAAAGAGAGTAAAAAACAGATGTATAAACTATAAGAAAAGTAAAAAAATTAGTACAAATCAGGTGTAATAAGGATGAAAATCAAAATATATATTTATAGATGAGGATATTCAACATTGATTGGTGAGATATTTTGTAACCATTTTATAATGTACTTAATGTTTCAATTGCAGGTTCTACTCCTCCAAGCCACCCATGATGCGTGTCACGGAGATCATCCAAAACAAGAATGATCAGTCATAACTCTCATGGAAGCAGATCCCTATTGCGACTCGGGTTATGTATTTTAAGAAGTTTGAGTTATAAAATTCTAATTTGAAATAGAAAGCTAATTTCTACCTTTTTATGCTAATCAAGCTTATATGATTTCTAATTTGTTGAGATCGTTTTATTGGTTGTTGAAACATCACCAGCAGATCCTACTGATTTTTGTGGTTCGTGTCCAACATAGGCTCGGGGATATATTCACTACAGCGTGGAAGAAGGGATAGAGGCCCTCATGGATTGGTGAGGAAGCCTAGGCTGAGTTAAACCGAGCATGAGTCTCTCCGGAATACTAGAGGAATAGACTGACAGATTAGCAGAACGGGACGAAGAAAGGAGTCAAAAGGATCGCACTTCACATTGGAGGTTCGATCCCCCACACAGAGCACTACCAGAGACCGGTAAGGTTATCTCAAAATTCAGAAGCTTACAAATTTATATAATTATGTGACTTGTATTTGTTTGATCATGAATACAGTCCAAAAAGCTTAATCGAGAACCATCCACTATAAAGTTGCATGTCCTCACATATCGACGTCTGAGCACATAGAGTGGGTATCCGACCACTCGCGGCATGTCAATATAAGTTAAAAAAAATTAATTTTCTATTTTTTGGGGGCTTTTAGTATGCGAATTACTGTTTAAAATGCAAATTAATGTTTGAATTTTATTATGCATAAGTACGAGCAGGGCCAGAGTAAGAGTAGCTCCTACAGAGATAAAGGAAGATGGCTAATCAGACCACACCGTCTGCCAGCAGCAGTGGTAGTCAGTCCACCATTACTCCGTCCGATTTTGAATTGTGGATGCAGACGACAGGGAAAAAGAAGGGAAGAGTGTTCGACTTCAGAACAAAGGAGATAGAATTTGAGGCCAAGCGTTCCCGAGCAGCTATAGGCGGCCCTAGCTCATTAAAGGTTCAGCATAAGGAGATTGTCAGGCAGGTCACGATGATGGATGAAGAGCTCCGACAGGTGCGTGAAAGCCAGTAGATGATTGCAGATAGTCTAGCACGCCTGACAGAGAGTTTTAATCGCCAGAGAAAGCGGCATATGAGTGTTGTCGAGGAGGATGAGGAGCATAATGATAATAAGAAAGATTAAGATTTTTATTATATGTTTGATGAATTTTCCACGACAGAGGAGTTGATTATATATAATATATTTGTGTTTAATCAAACTTTTAGTTTATATAGTTGTGAAGATTGAACACTTTGATCATTTTATTTTTAATTTAATTTGGTATCATTATTTAGATATGTTGGGGATTTCTTTTATCAGTTTTGATGATATATAAATGTCCTATTATGTCGGTTGTGTTTGCTTTGTGCAGATGTGAAAATCTAATAGTCATGTTGTATTTTTTTTCTTACATATTTGTGTTGGATTAGCGTCGAAATATTATGATGCTAATGATTGCAATAGTCTATTCAATAGATGACACTGCTAATTCGACACGTTAGAGTCAAACCTGGCCGACGCTAAACCCATGTTGATGCTAATTAGCATCGGTTAGGTTCGACGCCAATGTGTTGTTAAGCTAACGTTGCCTGTTTTTTCGATGTAAATTAATAGTGAAGCAATTTTTTGACGCAAATGCGGACGCAAATAAAAATTTGACATAAATATCGACGCAAAATGAGGGTGCGTTTGGGGCAGCTCCTGCTTTTTCAAAAAATAGTTGTAAAGTTGTTTTCTAGAGAAGTAGTTTTTCAGGAGCTCTCAGAAAGCTGCTGATGAATAAGCAGATGTCTGTTCGAAAGATCTGTCATGTTGTTGTTTCTGATGAGAAAAACTGTTTTGCATTTATATATGTAATATATTGAAATAAGTGTAATTTTCAAAATATTCAGAACTAAATAACACAGAGATTGTACTGCTAAAAAAAATAACAGTACGGTCCAAAGTACTATAATACATAAGAAAAAATTAGTTATTTGAAGCAAATGACTACAATAATGAGGACAACAACGGTAATCAACAAGCTTAAAACAATGTTCGTCTTGAAATTCTAATGATCAAATCTTCAGAACATTCTCATCTCAATCCCTGCACCTCCTCGTCTGATCACGATTTGGAGGTACCTCGTCAGTGTCATCAACCTAATAGAAGTAGTCGCAATCTGTAGGAATCTTGTTTTTGAGACAAGATTAAAATCTTCTTCCATAGCTACCTTCCCTCATGAATTGGTAGTGAATACACCTATCGCCACAATAACCGAGTAGAACTTTCGAAGTGTTTGATGATCTTGAGCTCATATTTTCTGTTATTATAATACAATATTTCTCTAATTAAAAAAATTAAAATTATATAACATTCGAGAAATTCTAAAAAAAATTATAAACAGACTTAGAATTAAGAATTGAAGTTATCGGTGCACAAAAAAAAAAGGTACAACACAGGTTGTTATATATATTTAAAAAAAATACATCCAGAGAAAAACATAGAGATGAAATACGAATCATCAACTACAAATAACTAGGTGATGCTACATAAGTAAGGTCATTGCATTCACCAAAGCATCAGTAATCTCCTCTCTCAACCGTAACATCTCCTTGACGTCTTTTCCCTCAGAAGTGTTGTACTTGTCGTCCTACATTCCTCTTCTTACACTGAAGGTCGGGCTTTATGTTAGCTTCCACAGGCATGTAGGTAGGATCATTATCTAAGACCCTGAAATCGATATCATCTCGAGAAAGATGTCTCTATATAAAATTATGGAGAGCGGTTGTTGCAACAACTATTTTTACCTGTTTTTTGAAAGAAAATGTAAGCATATCTCGGAGTATGACCCAATTCTTCTTTCATACATCAAATGTTCGCTCGATTACACTACGTAATGACGAGTGTCTTTTACTGAAGAGCTCATTCTTCCCTCTAATCACTTGGTTGTTGCGCTCAAAATCAGTGAAGTGATCTCATGTCCGAAAATAGCTTCAAAAAACCTATTGAAGTGGATATCCCGAATCCACAAGATAATACTTTCTTGAATAATGATAACATTAGTAGATTAGTTCAAATGAAAATATAACAGTGATAGATTAGTTAAATGCACCAACCTTGCAGAGCATTAGGAATTTGTATTCGGGCCATAGGGTTGTAAATTTAAATATTTTGTTGTCTATGCACTCACTTCCCAACCAACTATCATGAATGTAAAACACATATTGAAATCACATACTGTTAATATATCTCGTGTAATAACTTCACATCTACCGATATAAGCTATCTTTTCCTCGTTCTTCACGCATGCATCAACATGCATTCCATCAATTGCTTTGATTCAGTCCTTACTATAAAAAAATGACAATATATGTTATTTATAAAAATTCTTTAATCTATTGAAGTATGAATATAGAGTGAAATCAATACCTTGAAAAATGGCATGTACCTCGGATCGTTAAGAATTTTCTGAGGTGTTTG